TGGGCTCTGGAGTCACGTCGCTGCCCGGGTTCAAATCCAAGCTCCTCTGCTTATAGGCACTTGCACTGTTTCTCAGCTTTTCCCTCTGTAAAATGGGAATAATAGTCTTAAAAACTGTTGTGAAGATTTAACTACATGTAAAACACAGCCTGCTGTATGCACCCAATAAACGTTAGCTGTTACTGTTGCCGTTGTGGTTATGACCGGCTTTGCTGCCTGGTTCTCCCCGCGCCCTGGGGCTGGGGTGGGTGGAGGGAAGAGTCCACGCAGCAAGCACGACTGGGAGCTGCTCTCCCTTGCCACACTTGCTCCTGGAAGCCAGCCCAGCCCTCAGGATGAGGGCCTTTCCCACCTCACCCCACTCCAGCCACTCTGCTCAGGACCTCAGTTTGGAGGATTGGGAGGGTCAGAGGGGAGTAGCCCAATCCTTTGTTTTTGTTTAGGCCTCTGGTCTCCTGGAAAGAATGCTTGGGAGTGAAACTGGAGACTTCTGGTCCCTGCACTTTTTCTGACTCTGTATGTGGTCTTGAGCAGGTCACTCCCCCTTTAGGGCCTCGGTTTTGTACCTGTAAACTAAGCTAACTGCTGATCCTGGATGGGCCTCCCAGCCTGACTTCTGAGATCCTGTGATGCCTCAGGAAGTTTCCCTCCCCTTCCCACCCAGCCTCCCTCCTCCCCTCAGGCCTAGCCAGCGTGAGGGGGCGAGTTGCCTGCTGTCGCCATGGGGACTAATCTCCAAGAAGGTCAGTGAGCCTCTGGTTCTGCCTTGGCTGGATGGGGATTAGCACCTGGGTATGAACCACCCTCCATACCTCCATGCCCAGGTATCCCCACTCTCTTGTAGACCCTGGGCAGCCTCCACAGCCAGAAGCTCCAAGGCTGGGCCAGAATCAGCAGGTGGACAGTGGAGGCAGGGCAGCTGCCACGGTTGTCTGTCCAGCTGTGGCCAAGAGAGAAAGGGGGAAAGATGGAGTCAGATCAGCCCCAGTGTCCACTCATGGCCTGAGCCTTGCCCCTCTTCACCTTCTGCTTCTTAATGGGGAGATACTGGTCTCCCAAGATAGGGGTGTCACTCCCACCTCCATCCTTGGCTGTCCCATTTGCAGCCACGGAGAAGCCACCTCTTTCTCCTCTGTTGGGGGCAATTTCCCCTTACCAATGTGGGGTGGAGGCTGTTTCCACGGACACCTCCCCCTTCTTCTACACACACTGTGCCTTCCACCTCCGGCTACCTGACCTGTGACCCTCCGTCTTCAAATCCTTCCATCTCTGAAGTGTACATGTCTGGTGGTCTCTGTCCCTCTTCTCTGGGTTTTCTCAGGTGGTCTCTGCCACTGTCTCAGGTCTCTCTCTAGCTCTTGTTTACACTGTGTGTGCAGTGGGGAGGGTGGTCTGCAGTTTCTCTGGCCTTGAAATTTCCCCTGTTGTTCTCACACCCTTCTCATCTGTGCCCTCTGTTTGTCCTCCCGTCCTGGTTGTGTTCTTGGCCCTCCTCCTCTCATCTTTCTCCCGAGTTCCATTTCCAATCAGCAGTTTCCCAGTCCCACTTCTGCCCACACTCCTCTTCCTGCTCCCTCCCCCGTCCAGGGTGCTGACAGAGATGACAGGAAGCAGGCTCTGGCTGGGAGCAAGACAGGCAAGGGGGGAGGGGGCCGCCTGGAACACCAGCTGCTGAGCACCCCCCTCACCCAGCTCTGCACCTGCAGGTCTGCCTGGCGTCTGGAGACTCCACCCCTGGCCAGGCAGGGAAGGAGGGGCCTGGATGAAAGGACAGATCCCTGGCCAGGAAATGCAGGTCTAGGGATTGGGTGGGGGATGGAGGTCCAGGGAAATTAGGCTCTGGGGGAAAGAGGCAGTGGCGCTCTGTCACAAGAAAATGAGAGCAATGGTGGCCTCATTTTCTCAACAATCCCTTGCCAAAGGACTGTTGTGTGTGTGTGTGTTGGGGGTCATTCCAGGGGAGACCTTTTTGCGCAGCCCCAGTATCTCTAGAATCCCAGCCAGATAAGGGAGAGCGCTAGCCCCCTTCTATGATTGGGGGTTGGGAGAAAACCCGTCCAAGGCACAGGGAGGACACAGGAGGACGTGCCAGCACCAGGCCTAGTCCCTGACAGGCACACCATTCAGTGCCAGGCAAAAAGCAGAGGGCTAGGCCCAGGACGGAAGCCTGTTCAGGGAGGCCAAAATGGGGGCTGCACACGCCCCAGCCTGGGACCCATGCACCCCCTCATTCCCCTCCAAGCTGCTGCCTGCAGATGCCACCTGCAGTGCCCCCTCTCCCCAGACCTGCCTGGGATCTGTCAGGGTCATCTCATCCTCACTCCCTTCCCTTCTCTGCAACAAGGACTCAGCAGATCCCATGGAACATGAGGGTGGTCAGGTGAGGGATGGTAATGGAGTGGGGGGGGGGGGGACAAGCCAGCAAGCACCTCCAGCAACATCGATATTGGAGCTGAAAGGGACCAGTGACTCCTGACCCTCACTCTCATCTCCCTGAGGGCTTGCCCAGGCCATGGGTGTGTGGGGGTGCAGTCCCTTCCCACAAGGCTTCCTCACCCTAAGGGGGAACTGGGGCTCCATATTGCTGTCCAAGGAGCCTTGGTTCCACCCCATCTATAACTAGCCCCTCCATCTGGGGCTGGCTCAGCATTACCATCAATTTTGGGAGGAGGAGTGGAGGACAGCTGGAGTCACAGGACAGACTCAGCCAGGGACTCAGACTGGCTCCAGGCCTTGTGTGGAGCCCTCAGTTCTAGGGTCTCCGAGCAGAAGGCCAGCGGTCTCGAATAATATCTGTCCCCCTCCTCCATGTCAGATCTTAACACTTTGAGTCTCCAGAAAAGGGGATGGTCTGTCCCAGATTTGGGTTGTAGCTGATGACTCATGGACTCCCAGCTAAGCTGAGGGCCACATAGACCCCACCCCCACCCTGAAATAAGAGGCCTTGGAGTTATGAAGTTAGGGAAAGGTGATGCGCTGCTGTGCCTGGGGACCCCATCAGGCAGGGACTACTGGACCCTGTGTTTGTCCTTTCCTATCAATCTGTCTGTCTGTCTGTCTGTCTGTCTCAGATATGGGAAGATTGAAAGAGGGGTGGGGGAGGTGACAGGGAGTGAATCCTCAGGATGACAGTACTGTAGGGATCTGGAGGAAGGACATGATCCTTCATCATGGTTCTAGCCCACCCCTCCCAGACTTTCCACACCTCACCACTAATTGCTCCAACTCTTCTGAGGGCCTCCAACTTTCCAGGTCAGGGGCCTCAGATATACTGCTAGAAGCCCAGAAACCAGTATATGGAGACTGGTGAGGCCCTCACGGGAGGCCAGACCAACATTCTCATTTTGCAAATGAGAAAATCCCAGGAGAGGCCCGAGAAATGACTTGCCCAAGGCCACAGAAGTCGCTGGGACAGAGTCGGGCCAGAAACCGGTTTCACGTTCTCTGAAATGCTCCTGTTCCGGGTTACAGCCCCCTATGCTACCCGGTGGGACCTGCTCAGTGGCCCGCATCACCCCGAACGGAGCCCGGCAGCCCAGCCCAGGAGTTGCGGGCCAGGGCAGGACAAGGCAAAGCGGGTGGGGCCGGATGGGAGCCGGATTTCCCCTGTGAGCGGCGCACAGCCTATCCGACCCGTATGGCGGCGGCGGCGGCCGGTGCCTGCGTGGCGATCGGGCTGGGCCTCCGGGCGGGTGCTGAGAGGCCGCCCCTGCCTCACGCGAGCCGAACGAACAAAACGCTCAGGTCCGGTTTGTGCGAGGGGCTCGTCGCGGGGCGGGAGCGGAGGGCCCGGGGCCTGGCGGTGGCCCTCGATGATCTCCAGGTCCTGGTCTTCCGAGAGCGCAGTGCCGCGCCGCGCTCCACCAGCCGCCGCCTCACCTGCGCGCATCTGTGGCTGACACGTCGGCGGCCCCGGGCGGCCACCACAGGTGCGCACCTGGTCTGCCCCTCCCTTCCTGGCCACCCTCCACCCGATCGGGCCCTGCTTGGCTTGGTCCCCAGTGCACGTTTCCGAGCTTGTGCCGAAGCTCGGGCTCAGCGCGCTCTTATACGGCTTGTTCAGTCCCCGCCCCCAGACACACACACACACACGCACACTCACACCTGTGCGGGTGCCCGTTTGCTCGGGGCAAATATTGACTCAGAGGAGGCGGAGCGCCCCAACCCCTTCCCCACCCCCGCCGGGGCTCTGGGGCCAGAGCTCTTCCGAGGCCTTGGCGGCGGGATGGGGGTGTTGGGGGGGGGGGTGGGGACCTGGGCGCCTCTGGAACAACACCAGATGTCACTTTTCCACCCACCCGCCTCTGGCGGAGTGTTCGGGGGGAGGATGGGAGGAGCCGAAGAGCAGAGGACAGAGGCTGCCTGGCCGAGGTTAGGGGGAGCAGGAGGTGGGTATCCTAGGAAGGCGGGACATCCCCTGGTCAGGGAATTCCTAGTCATAATGGGAGTAGCTCCTAGAGATTGTGGCCCGCTGTCTAGGGGTGACCTGCACCCGCGTTCCAGCGTCTATAGCTCTTGGCCCTCAGAGATGTGCCTCCGTTTCCCTTTCTTTCCAATCTATTAGCAGAGTTCCAGGAGCCCTGCAGCTGCCGGAAAAAGGCTGAGGGCGGAGTGCCCGGGCCTTGGAGTGGTCACCTCCACTCGCAACCACCTGCTGCACGGAACAGGCCTGGCGTTCAGTTCCTGACCACCACCTGCGCTGGGGCAAAGGCAGCCAGGCCCCAGCAGAAATGCCCTCCCCTGGCCTGACCAGGTCCAGGGCCAAGCAGCCAGTCAGAGAACCCTCGCCTAGCTGTGCTATGGAGTGGAGAGGCGCGACCTCCCAGTCAGGCCCTGTCTCCAAGGAGTCGCTGCGGTCCGATCGGCCGCTCCCACCATCTGTTTGTCAGAACGTGCGCGCAGAGTCGCTCCCACATCAGTGAATAAAGTAAAGGCAGATTTTTTTTTTTTAAAGGCTAGATGTTTTACTGGTGGAGCAGTGGAGAGGTGTCCGGCAGAACCTAGGGAAGCAAGTTCAAGGGGCTGGGCGCTTGTGTCCGCAATACATCAGGAGAGGGCGGTGCCGCCAGCAGCCGGGGCACTATTTGCTGTGACTCTAGGGGAGCTGTCGCCAGCAGGTCTGGAGTCGGAGTTCTGGAAGATAGAAAGCCCAGGCAGGGGTGAGGGCGACGTTTCTGGCCAAGAATGCCCTCCTCTGGCACCCCTCCACACCTCTCTGGTGCGGTTCCTGCTGCGGCGCCCCGGTGCCCCCACCTGGGAAAGCTGAGCGGTGGCAGCGCGATGACGCGCGGCCGAGAGGTGAGCACCACCTCTCCTCGGCTCGCCTCCACCAGGATGTTCTGGATTATGTTCTCCAGCAGCGCCTCCTGCAGGTTGGCGAAAGCCGGGAGCCTGTGGGGGACCAGGGCGGCAGGGTCAGCGCCATCACCTGCCAAGATGCTGTCCTCTGGTGGCCTCCTCTGTGCTGTACTATGTGCCACGCGCTCTATCTACATGGATTCTCATTTAACTCCTCACCCTCCCAACACTAGGAAGCATCCTCGTTCCAATTTTACAGACACTTAAAAGAGCCCAAGTTGCCAAATGTCATGCGGCTGATACAGTGGTGGGATTCGAACTCAAGTAATCAAAGTCCACATTCCAAAACCAGGTTTGGGGAAAGGCATCCAGCAGTGAGAGACAGCAGAAGGGAGTCGACAGGGCCAAGGAAATTCCAACCCCAACAGAAAGCAACCACAGAGCAGTCCCCGGGGGAAAGTGGTACAAGGAGAGGTGGTACTTCTTTTCTGGTTCTGGAAACCCATTGAAGAAACCTTGAAGACTATAACTATCCTCCTTGAAGTGGTATGATGGTGAATGTTAATAGCCAGGTCTTGGAGAAAAAATTAAAACTAGCCCGCCATTCTGTAAAGACTCGCACCCAGGCCTTACCCTTCCAATGTAATGTGAGTGAACACTGCATGGGTAGAGATGCGTATAGTAGAGGTCACCCCAGTATACCATCGCCTTGCAGGAAGGGTCCTTCTGCATACAGCCCCCCCTCCAAACCCTCACCTGGGTCTAGCTGCTCACCGACTGATGGCCTCCTTCTCATCGTGCTCTTGCTCCTCCTTCATTATGACCTTCAGCTGCTGCTGCCACCACCATTTCTGCAACTCCTGGGACATAGGTGGCGGTGTGGATTCAATCCCTGTCCGGGTCAACTTCTCTTCCTTCTCCTTTACCTCCTCCTTCACCTCCAGCTCCTCCTTGCCTGTTTCCTCCTCCTCTTTTATCTCTTCTTCCTCCTCTTCCTCCTCTAACTCCTCCTCCTCCTCCTCCTCTTCTTCTTCCTCCTCCTCATCCTCTTCCCCTACTTCTTGCTTCCCCGGCCTCCATTTGTCCTCCTCCTGCTCCTTGGCTTCCGCATTCTCTCCACTGTCGGAGGATAGAGATGAGTCTGGCTCTAAGTACACATTGCTGTTGTGGGCCATGAACCTGGCTGACTGCTCATTCCAGAACTGGCAAAAGTAAGGCGTCCGCTCCACCAGGGTTTGTTCTATGGCCTCATGGAAGGTCTTGTCTTCCAACAGGCCCCTGGGTGGCAGGGAGGAAGAGAAGTTTGTCGTTGAGAGGCTTTGCAGCCCCCTATGAGTTTTGGTTTCAGTATTCCCCAAGTAGTGGTTCTTGCCTACTGTGTTCACAAACAGGAGCAAAGTGGGGAAGGGGAGCCCTTGGTCCATTGCCCCTCCTATCCTTCTTTAGAGGAAGGTGTCTCTGGACCCCATGGAGTCTTAGAAGTGAACATTATGTGGTGGAGACAGAACCAGGAGGTCAGAGTTACATGGATGAGGGGCAGAAACCCTGGAGAGAATGTAAACTGGCTCAGACCTCATCTACCAGCCATGCACAGGGCAGAATCCAGCCTTGATGATCCCTCCTGGGGCCACCAATGGGAGGATCTTGTGAGGAAGTTATATTTTTCAGGAAAGAAAGGGCTAGGACTTCAGGGGCTGTTAGTGGACCCAGAGTTGACTGAATGGGCCGGAGAAATGGGGAGGGGGTGAGGATCCAGGGAATGGACAGTCACCTGATGATGGCGGTGAGACAGTCAACCAGAAGCTGCTTCTTCTGCTTGGAGGCAGGGTCCCACTTGTCAGGGGATTCTTTCTCAGAAGCCTCTGACTCCTCCCTGACACAATTCTTTGGCAGGTCCCTGGGGCAAGCCGTGACATTGAATGGCCTGGGCAAGCCACCATGCTAGGGCTGGGGGCATGAGCAGGGGTGGTGGCCTCATAGCCATGAGGACGTAGATGAGTTTGGGTTAGACCCAGTCTTAACCCAAACATGGTGCTACTGTATTTGGGGAACTAAACCCAATGCTCAGAGTCAGTGCAGGCCCTGGAGAGGCTCTAATTTGTAAAGGGAGGAATGAGGAGGCCTAGGTGGATTCTCTGGGGGCTCTGGCTCTTTGCCCTCTCCTCATAAGGGCCTAAGCAGAAATGGGGGCAGCTTGGACCTAGCAATGCCCTATTAGACCTGAGGTCCCCCACTGCACCTCTTCCAAGCCCTCAGCAAGGATTGGGTCTGGAAAACCCCTGTTCTGGAGTGGGAGAGGGGACAGAGAGCAGAGGAAGGAGACCTCTCACTCCCTGAGAGATCACCTGTGCAAGAAGTATCGGGAAAAGTCGGAGAAGAAGTTAGCCAGGAAGTAGTCGATGGCATGGGCACGGGCAGTGAGGCCCAAGTAGAGCATGATTGGTGAAGGTGGCTGGGGACGTGGCCAAGATGTCTCCTCCTTTGGGATCTTAAGATTCCAGCTGGTGGGCTGGTTGAGAGACTGCTGTTTCCTGATAGGGGGCAGCGTCTTTGGGAAAGGGGAGGCATGATGGCAAGTCTTTGGGAACTGCATTCACATCACCAATGGGTCCCTAGCTCACCAACCAGACCTTTTGGGCCACACAGGGGTTTGACTTCACCCATTGGCACTTTTATCCCTCCCTTCTAGGAGGCTGGACCACGGATTGGAGGTATCTCTGAGAGCGAGCAAGGACCCTCTCAAGTTATCCAAGGAGATGGGCCCGCGGCTTATGGCCTTACCTTGTACTTCCTCGTAGGTCCACAGGCTGTACAATATACCCTTCTCTGTGGGAGTAAAGAGACCCCTGCTTAGGATACAAGAGGACTAGAGGAACTCTTCTCTTCCTACCCTTTCTACTGACCCACCAAAGACCTGCAGTCAATGCCAGGACCTGTTGCCCTCTAGGACTTGCCCAAGTCCTAGCCACACCCTCTTCCAGAAACTTCCCGAGGGAAGTGTGACCTATAGACAAGGAAAATCTGGTTATCCAACTGAAGGAAATAGGAAGTGCCACCAAATATGTGTAGGCTGCCCCAAAAGAGTTTATCTTTGTGCCCTGGAGCTTTGTGCTTTGGTGTGATAAGGAACAGCCCCCCTTATTACAACTTAATTCAGAAATCCCTTCTTCTGTGGCCTCAAGATGTGATTTGCATTCATGGTTGGGCCAGAGCTTCAGAGAGGAGCAGTCTCTCCCTGGGAGTTCAGTGTGGTGGACACAGAGGTGATTGAGGGACAAGAAGACCATCATGGGAAGGCTATGAGACTGGGGGAGGAACCAAGACGTGTTTCATCTCATGTTTACCGTTTTCCCCTGACAAATGCTCATAGCGTGTTCAGTGAATGCTCACTAGGGGCCAGACACTGTTGTAGACATGTTGCATATATTAACTCATTTAGTCCTCCCAACAGTACTGTAGAGCAGATAATATTTTACTGGCACCTGAAAACATTTTTTACACTTTTATTTTTAACCTTCTTAATTTGGGAAATTTCAAATATATCAAAATTTGTAAAGATTGCTACAAAGTACGTATCTTCCATTACTCGCTACCCAGATTCAACAATTAGCCGCTCTCAGCCCATCTTGTCTCATCTCCATCCCACCTCTGAATGACCTTGAAGCCAATCCCAGATGTCATATTACCCTCATTTTATAGTTGAGGGAACTGAGAAGTTAAATAATTTGACCAAGATCATGGAGCTAGAAATAATCAAAACCAGCAACGCTTTCCCAGAGCCTGCACCCAAAACCACCATCCTGTACTGTTCTCTGTCAGGAGGTGAACTCTATCTTGTTTCCCTGGTCTCCAGTACCCAGCATTTCAAAGGCACGTGTTGGCCTTGGCTGGTTTGGCTCAGCACTTAGAGCATCGGCCCATGGACCAAAGGGTCACGGGTTCAATTTCTAGTCAAGAGCACATACCTGGGTTGCAGGTTTGATCCCTGACTCTGAGGCAACCAATTGATGTGTCTCTCTCACATCAGTGTTTCTCTCTCTCTCTCCCTCCCTCTCTTCCACTCTATCTAAAAAATCAGTGGAAAAATATCCTTGGGTGAGGATTAACAAAACGAAGCAAAATAAAAAAAAAGCACTTGTTAAATATTAGCTACATGAAACAGGAAATGGTCAGCCAGTCTTCTGTATTCAAATAGTCTCTTGGAGAGATGCTGTGCTTAGTCTAATGAAAGAAATCTAATTTCTTAGGGCAGGCTGGCCAATTTTGCATTAAGACCCACTCGGATCACTACCTCTGTCCCCTCTGGTAAGGCCAATCAGAAAGATCTGTGTGTTCAAGGCCCACTCTGTCCTCCGCACCTCCACTTTCCTGTCCGTGATTGTAAACTCCACTTCCTGCCGCACCTGCTCATCCTTCCACTCTTGCAGCTCTTTATGGAACTCCTGAAGGAGTTCCTGCTGGTACACCTGGGCCCAGGACAAGGACAGAGAAGACCAGGGTCTGAGAGACTTGCAGCCAGGCCTTGCCTTGGGCCTGTGCTGTGGGCCCCCCAACCTTTCCAGGGGCTGGCTCTCTCTGGGATTCTGGGGATCCAATAGCCCACCCCACTCCCCGGGGCTGGGAGCTGTGCTTTATCCCAGCTTCTCTCCGGGGCTGGTCCTACCTTGCATACCAGGTCCATGCTGTAGAAACTGGCATGCACTGAGGCCTTCAGAGTCACCACAAATGGGATTGACTCTCCCGGGGCCACCTTCCCTTTCATGGGGCTCACAGACACCTGTTGATTTGGGGAAGGAGTCTCTGGATCGTCATGGAGATGGAATGGGACAAGATGGGATGGGAGGGGATGGAGTGGTATGATATGGGAGGATGTATGGGATGGGAGGATAGGGGAGGGTGGGGTGAGACGGGACAAGATGAGACTGGATGGGACAGGATGGAATGGGATGGGCTGAGATGGGACATGATGGGAGGAGATAGGCTAAGTCTGGAGCCGTGCTGGAGGTTCGGATTCTGTGGACACAAGGGGCTCTCACCTCCCCGAAGTCTAGAGGCTTCAGCTGCCAGACGAAGACAATTGTCTCATTCTTGGAGATGTTGTTGAGGAACAGAAAGCGGCTGCACTTGCTCTGCACAGGAATGTTTCCCAGTGAGATGCGAGACTGGGACAGGAAGACATTCTGTTGGTGGAGACAACACAACAGAACTTTGGGAGGTGAAGAAATAATAACCATAGTAACCACTGCCAGTTACTGAGTGCTTTCAACAGGCCAGGTACCATGGGAGGCCATTTACATGCATGTGATCTTCCCAATAGCCCTATGACACAGGTACTACTATTGTCCCCATTTTACAGATGTGCTGCTAAGGTTCAGACAACATAAATATTTTCTCCAAAGGTCTCTTACAGGTGCAGCTGGAATAAACCCAGACGGTCTCACTCTAAAACCTTTTTGACCATAAAAATGGGCTTGGGAAGGCTGAGAAATCAGAATTCGCTTTGATAAGACAGAACTACAACCAACACAGTTTGAGTCCCTTGCTCTGGTTGTAAATGAATGGGTGATCAGCTGTTTTTGTTGAAACTGGGCACAAAATAGTAGCTATGTTGTAGGGGTGTCTGGAAAGACTGAGGCCACATGCAAGGAGCACTTTCTCTCGATCCAGACTGATTGCCTCCAGGGCTGGGACTTCGTTGGATTCTTCCCTGTGTTCCCAGGGCCTCCACAGGGCTCATCGTGCAGTAAGAGTCTGAAAGGGTAAGAGCAGAAGGGTGGACAGGCAGATGTCGAAGTGGACAGAGTCTGGATGGGTGCAGGGAAGATGGATGGAGAGCTGGGTGGGTGGATGGATAGATACATGGATGAGTAAATGGGTATACAGGTCAGTGGGGAGATGGATAGATGGGTGGATGGATAAATGGATCAGACCTCCCAACATTGAGGAGTATGTGAACTAAAGACAATGTTAGTGACTCTAGTTATCTTTCAGCAAAATCCATCTGGGTCCAGGGTTGGGCTGTTCTGCCTGAAGATAATACCTTAGAACCCTAGAATGGGAGAGCTTCTTTCTACCCTTTCTAATAACCCCATCCTAATGCCCAGAAAAGAGGGTGGAGTGGCTTGAGCAAGAACACCTGTGGTCACTAGGTGGCAGGGTAAGCCTCCTGTGGAGCTGGTGCTGCCTCCTAACTCTGGAGGAGGGCTGGTTCCAGGCTTCCTCTCTGTATCCTTCCATTCTCAACATCATCATCTTTCCTTCTCAGCCTCCCCGTCCCTCTGCACTGGCCACGCTGGGCTCTCAGGCTCCTCCTAGGCCTCATGCCTTCCCAGTTCCCGTCCCCTACCTGTCCAGGGACCATCAGCCTTGAGTGTACGGAGCTGTTGTCCCATGAGGAGATATTGTGGAAAGGGGCTGTATCCCCCATGGCATGGGGGTCATAGCCCACTCCTTGGAATTGGATTATGGCTGAGTTCCATCCCAGGATGTGTACGGGCACGTTCACCTGGGGAGTTAGGAGGGTTGGGGGAAAGGACTGGTCAGAGCAGGGCCTGCTGAGGAGGCCAACTCCAACCCCTGCCCCACGTTAGCCCAGGCTGCTGCTCACTGTGTAGGTCTTGGCTTCAATAGGTGAGAAGATCCACAGGACCTGAGCAGTTGTGCCCGGCTGGATCTCCCCTTGGGGGTTGAGGCAGCAGAAGATGGGGTGGTCAAAATTTTTTTCCTGAACATGAGTCAGGACGTTGGTCTGGATCTCATATGTCACGGGCACCGAGCCACCATTGTACATCTCATAAATCTGCAGGAGGTGGAAATAGGAAAACCTCCAAACCAGCTCAGGGTTGCAATGCAGAGAGCCCGGGATTCTGTGTCCACTGCAGGTGGGCAGGTTGATCTCCAGAAGTCACACTTACAGTCCCAGAGCTCCCTTAATACCTCGAATTTCCCTTTTGGCTTCATCATCCAAGAAGCATGTAACTATATTTTCAACCTGTGATGTTTTGAGATAACCTGTAATCCTTATTCTATTTGCTCTCGACTTACCTTTGTTAAGGTATAAGGGGACACTATGCTCGTGTCCTTAGTATTGGAGTTTAGGCAAATGTCCAAGCAGGCACCATCCTGACTCTTCATCATTTTTTTTTTTTTTTTTATCCTCACCCGAGGACATTTTTCCATTTTTTGTACAGATAGAGTGGGAGGGGGAGAGAGAGAGAGAGAGAAACATCGATGTGAAAGGGACACATCGAGTGGCTGCCACCCGCACGACCAACCAGGGCCGGGGACAAACTGCAACCGAGGTACATGCCCTTAGCGGGAACTGAACCCAGGTCTCTCCAGACCGCAGGCGGACGCTCTAACCGCTGAGCCAAACCGGCCAGGGCCTTCATCATTTCCTAGGCTCTGGTTCTAACCACCTGTGAGGCTGCCACTTTCCACATCTGCTATTAGAGGCAGAACAGAGAGCGGAAGGAAGGTATGAGGTCCCTCGAGATTAACTCCAAAGTTTTGGAATCACAGAACATTTTGGAAGAAACCAGAGAGCTTCTGGCCCAAGCCTTCATTTGAGAGATGAGCAAAGAGAAGCCAGAGAGAATAGAGTTCATGTGGATTGAGGCCCGGCCTCATCGATTTCAGCGCCCACCCCTGGGACCGTCCTCTGAACGTCAGACTAACTTCTCCTTGACAACCTCTCTTGGTTGTCTCACAGGCATCTCAAAATTGACCACAATGCAACTCTTCACTCTAAAACCTATTCCTCCCCCACAGTGCATCTCCTTTCAGTAAGTGGACTACATATTCCCGGCAGCTCGAACCAGGAGTCCAACACATCCTCAATCTCCCCGTGTCTCTTACTTCCCAGATCCAATCCCCAGGAAGTCCCGATGATTCTACCTCTAAAATGCAAATTAAATCTGTTCACCTCTCTCTCTTTCCATGGCCCTCTTCCGGGCCATCATCTGTCATCATCTCATGACCGAAAGAAAGCTCGGCCACAGTTGTGGAATTTGGCTGGAGGCACAACTGGGTCTGCTGGCTCCGTATCTGGAGACATTTTCTATTGTCTGTGCTCAGGGCCACAAGAGAGTGGTCTGGTCCCTCTCCTGAGGCACCTGAGTCCTTGCCTTCCTTTTGGGGTGTGTGGACCTCTGCAGGCTTGGGCACGCCCAGCCCCAGCTGGTGCTTCCGGGAAGCCAGTGGGGTAGAGGGTGGTGCAGGGAAGGGAGGTGTGAGCGTGGGGCTGGCGACCTCCACTCAGGTCCAGGGAGCCCATTCCTCTGCCTCGAGGCTGAATGGCTGGAGGCCCCTGCCCAGAAACACAAGGGCTTCTAAATGGTTGGAAATTTCAAAGCTATGAAATGTTTGGGGAAATGCTATGTCCCCCTCTTGGAGATTTCCAATGTACATTTTCACAGCAAAGGAACCCAGTTCCCTCCAGCTAATAAAGAAAATCTTATAGCTTTGTGAGAATTCATATTCCAGTTTTCCACATCCAGGAGGAGGTCCTTGAAGCAGTGCTTTTCAAACTGTTGCTGAGACCTGTTAGCGAGCAGGTCATGAAACCTATTTAGTAGGTCATGCTCAGCATTAAAAAAATATGGAACAGAATATAATAAAACAAAACACCAGAGTTCTTTTAAATAGTAGTGTATATATTGATTTGTGATCTGTTGTATGTGTATGTAAGTACTGGGTTATCATCCAAAATACATTAGTGTGGCCCTGGCCGGTTTGGCTCAGCGGTTGGAGCGTCGGCCTGCGGTACAGAGAGACCAGGGTTTGGTTCCCTCTAAGGGCATGTACCTCGGTTGCAGTTTGTCCCCGGCCCTGGTTGGTCGTGCAGGTGGCAGCCACTCGATGTGTCCCTTTCACATCGATGTTTCTCTCTCTCTCTCTCTCTCTTCCTCTCTCTCCCTCCCGCTCTATCTGAACAAAAAATGGAACAATGTCCTCGAGTGAGGATAAAAAAACAAAAAACAAACAAACAACAAACATTAGTGTGGTTTATGGTCAAAGAAGTTTGAAGAACACTGTGCTAGAGCTAAAAATATAATAAGCCTCTTTTTGCATGAGAACAAGGCCTGGCTGAGTGCTGGGCACCAGGCACCAGGAAGCTGAAGCCTCTTGCCTTGGGTCTCTGCCAGTTGCCCAGTCTCAGGGTTCAACCTGTAGCCCCTGAGGGCTTCGAGTGAGGGCTTCTGGAAGGCAGTATCTTTGTCACCCTATCAAGAACTTTTGCAGATACACAGAGATCACCATGTAGGCCTCTTGGGGGCCAGGATGATTTAGACCACTGACCTGCTGCGGCGGCAGTGCGTCACCGATGGGGACAGGGATGAACTGGTGGCTCGTGGAGGTGAAGTGCACATACTTCTGCTCCAGCCTCACTGTCACACCAACGAAATTTAGCTAGAAACAGAGAGCTCATGAGTAGCATCCTTCCTTGGGAGGAAGTGAAGCACCCAGGAGAGAGATTCAGACCCCAGCTCCCTGGGGCCATAATTCCCTGATTGTCCCAGGACAGGATCAGGGCTGGGGCCTCACCAGGATCTCCCGGCCATAGGACACCTTGAAGAGCACTGGGAGGCGATCAGTGCCAATGAAGAGGTGGCTGGAAGGGAGGACACAAGTCCGGGATGAGTTAGGGAGCCCTGGCACCAGTGGGAGAGCAAACGATCACAGGACGCCTGTGACTCTGAGCTGGCGCCCCGGGAGCATGTGGAAGCCCCTGAGTTGGGAAGGGACAAAAGGGGAATTAAACTCCCCTGCAGTGGGAAGGCAGGGTCCTCCCAGGGTGGTGCCAGGCCAGGATCCACCAGGAGCCGGGGGAAAGGGGGGATCTCTGGGACTGGAAGTGCAGGGTGAGCACCTGTACTGGAGCTCCACCACCTGCTCCTGCCCAGGACTCAGGCTCCCCGTCCGGGGGCTGATGGAGAATATGCAATTGTCCTGCACACGCATTTGGTGTAGCTCGATGCAGTCAAACTCCGCTTCGTCTGCCCACGGCTCCAGGTCAATCTGCTGGTCGCTTGGAAAGAGGAAGGCCCTGGGAAGGGGTACAAAGCAGGAGGAGTGAAGCCTCTCAGTCAGAAGAGAGAGGCAGGAGCTCTGAGCCCCTGGAGGGATGGTGGCCTCCTCCTCCATGCTCCCCACTTCATCCCGCCATCTGGCAAGCTGTCCCATGCATGGCTGGGCAAACGTGGTTGTGGTGGATTCCCACTGCACAATGACTAAGCAGGAGTGAAGGTCAGGGCTCCCATTTGGGTGCGGGGGGTTGAGGAGGTCACTTATATATGTGGGTTGGTTGGAGCTGGCTATTAACCCTGGAGGTGTTTCTGTGCCAAAACTCCTAGGAAGATCCCTTTGAGGCTCCTAAGAAGGCCAGCAGTACCACCCAGGGCCGTGTCCAGGCCAGCTCGAGAACAGAGCAGAGAACAGATGTCCCAGCAAGACTGGCACTCCGGAATCTGAAGCAAAGCTGGGCCTAGATTAATGCCCCTGAAATGCCTGGGTAAAGTAGACACTGTACTCTAAAGCTAGTAAAACAAGTGACAAAGGGGACCCAAAGTCACAATCTGAGATCTGGCAAAGAGATGGCCCCAAACTGGCAGAAGCTATAAAGAGGGAGAAGTCAGAGGGGTAAAGAAAATGGCCAACACATCCGAAGAGGCCCAACAGGAGTTTGAAAAAGCAAATCAAAACTCCCTCCGGCCCATCTTAAATATATTCACATCAGTAATGTGAAGAGTTACATCCAATGCTGTTATGTTTAGAAAGAAGAGACACCTTCAAAACAAGGTAGGAAGAGAAGAAACTGCTACCACCTTTTTTGTAGAAATTTGGAATAAAAAAAATGCATATGCCCTTTGACTCAGAAATTCTATTTAAGGGAAGTAACCTGCAGGAATAAATGCACGCATGTGTACCCACACAAAGATGTTTATTATAACATTCTTTTTTCTGTTAACTTTTTTTCTTTATTGATTTTAGAGAGAGAAGAAGGGAGAGGAAGAGAAATAGAAACATCGATGAGAGAGAACATAGATTGGCTGCCTCCTGCATGCCCCTCACCGGGCATTGGGCCCACAACCTGGGTGTGCCCTGACCAGGAATCGAACTGGTGACCCGGCGACCTCTTGGTGGATGGGTTGATGCTCAACCACTGAGCCACACCAGCTGGGCACAACTTTCTTTATAGTGGAAAAAAAAAGAAAAAGAAAAAGCACTGGAGGCCCGGCTGGTGTGGCTCACTGGTTGAGTGTCAACCCACCCACCAAGAGGTCACCGGGTCACCGGTTCAATTCCAGGTTAGGGCACACACCCAGGTTGTGGGCCCAATGCCCAGTGAGGGGCATGCAGGAGGCAGCCAATCGATGTTCTCTCTTATGGATGTTTCTATCTCTTTCTCCCTCTCTCTCTCTCCCTTCCTCTTTCTCTAAAAATTAATAAAGGGAAAAAAATGTTTTTTTTAAAACACTGGGAAGAACTTATGTCATCCAATAAAGGAGTGGTTTAATAATTTAAGGTAAAAAATGGAGTATGATGCAACTATTAAAAAGAATGAGTTAGATCTATATATTGATCTGTATTTATGTAAAGGGAATGTTGTTGATACAATGCTGAGCAGAGAGTAGCATGTAAAGTATCATGCCATTACTGCAAAAACAAAATGAGAAAGAAACAGAACAACCTTGCAACTGTCCTGTCTGTTAGCGGTACAAGTGCTGAGACAGGGCGCTCTTGTCACCCCAGCAGGGTGGGCTTGGAGAGGGAGCTGGGGAAGGTCTTACTTTTCCTCCATTATCCTTGTATCGGTTGACTTGTTACAGCTGAATAAGCTGCTTCTGTCATTTTATCTGGGGGAGATCTTGCTATTTTGGGGTCGTCTAGATAGTTTCAACATCTCCGTTTTCCTCACCCAGTCTCCCTCCAAATGATCCCTGTCCCCCTTTCCCTACCATGTGGGCTCCCCCACCTGGGGACTGCAGAGCCTGTTCCCCTGCCTCAAGCCATGAATCCATTTTTCTCTCTGCAACCCAGACCAGAGTGACAGGCCTTGAAAGCTGATGTCTTTGCCCTTCATTGCCGTTCACATGGCATCGAAGCTCTCAGAAATAAGTCCAAATCCTCAGGAGAAGAATCCTAAGGCCTAGACCGTGGGCCATGTCGGGTGACCCAGCCACATCCGAGGCCCTCTCCTCCCTCCCTCCCAACGCTCCAGTCACTGGCGCTGCCCTCTCACCACGCGCAGCCGGGTGCTCTATCGGGAGGTTCTGCGCAGCCTCTCTGCCTCTTTCTGGAGGCTGCAGGCCTGGCTTAGTGGTGGCCCCTACCCACGTCCCAAATGGGGTGACGTGACCTCCAGGGATGCCCACGGGTCTTTCATAGCACATGTCACCCTGCACCAAAGGCTTGTCTCTGCCCAGAGAGCCCTGCCGCACCTGCGCTTCTGCTCTGAGGGCAGCCTGGAGCCCACACCTGGGAGGCCCCAGTAAAGATGCAGCCAGTGGCTTCATGCGTGCACGCGGGAGCGAGCCGTGTTCACCAGCCCCCAAGGAATCTCCCCTTAACGCAAGGCCCCACATCTCGGCCAAGCGCAGAGGTGAGGCGCAGAGAAGAAGGCTTGAAGGGAGTGGGCAGCGGTGTGGCTCCCTGTTTCCCCCCTACTCTCCTCATCCTTGGGGTTCTCACTCCATCTGTCCTGCCTGCTGCTGCCTCCAGGCCAAGTCCACACTCCCCGCTTCTTGCTGGTCTTGGCAGGAATAAAACCTTCAGTTTATTCTTTATAAACTCAGCAGAGACCAGCTAGAATTTTCAAAAATAGCCTTCTAAGGAAGGGAAAGGAAATACAGCACACAAAAAGCCTAGGAGAGCCGAGCCATCCAAGGACGGTTCCCTGTGCTTGGAATCCTGGAAGAAGCACAGACTGCCTTCCTGAACCTCAAATGATCTCCTGATGGATGGGCCCCGCTCGGCGGGCACTCTGCCTGGGTTTCCTCTCGCCTCGGTTTCCAGCAACCTGGACCCTCTCCATGGAGAGTGTGAGCTGGCTTGCTCCTACACAAACACACACGCACACACGATCCACCAAAATATCGTGCCCTGTGCCAGGACACAGGCCAGCCGCCTTTCCTGCCCCCGCCCCCGGGCCCTGTAGGACCTGGCTCCCAGCCACTAAAGAGCCAGTGAATGGCGAACACGGAGCTCAAGGCGGGCCCTGGGCCTTCCCCATCAGGCCGGCCGCCCTGCCTGCCAAGCTCCCTAAGTCATTCAGGGCTGCAGCCTTCAGTTACTCACAGTCCCAGCCCTTCTCAGACAAGAGCTGCCTACTGAGCCAGCTTCCCCAGCACAGAGAGTGGGGGGATAAGCCAGGGAGTCAGAGCAGCCATTGCACCCCTGATGATGCAGCCCCCCCCAAGACTCTCTGCTCAGGCAGGAGGGTTCCTGAGGTCCCGCATGCCGCTGCCTGCATATTTTCCATCTCACCCACCCACCGCCATGCCCAGGTTGGACTCCTGGCTCTCTCTCCCGTCTGACCCAGATGGGACACTTCTCTCTCACCTCTGTGCAGCCAAGGAAAGTTGGAAGTCATCAAAAGGAAGTTTACTAGGAAATCAAGGCGCGTGGCAGAGACAGGGAGGAAGAACCAGAAAAGCCTTGGCATGGAAACGGGATGTTTACTGGGCACGAGCCCGGGCCTGGGGCCCCAGGGTGAGGAAAGCCAAGCACAGGAAGGGCCAAGTGTGGCAGGCTCAGGTCTCGGGCCTGGGCCCCAGGTTACTAGAGAGGTGCAGCCTGCCCCGCAGCCGGCCCTCCCCCTCCCCACACCAGGCCCTCCCCCTCCCCACACCGGGCCCTCCCCCTCCCCACACGGGCCCTCCCCCTCCCCCGCACTGGGCCCTCACCCTCCCCGCACCGGGCCCTCACCCTCCCCACACGGGCCCTCCCCCTCCCCACACCGGGCCCTCACCCTCCCCACACGGGCCCTCCCCCTCCCCACACCGGGCCCTCCCCCTCCCCACACCGGCCCTCACCCTCCCCACACGGCCCCTCCCCTCCCACACCCGGCCCTCGCCCTCCCCCCACCACCGGCCCTCACCCTCCCCGCACCGGGCCCTCACCCTCCCCACGGCGGTCCTCCCCCTCCCCACACCGGGCCCTCCCCCTCCCCACACCGGGCCCTCCCCCTCCCCACACGGGCCCTCCCCCTCCCCCGCACTGGGCCCTCCCCCTCCCCACACGGGCCCTCCCCCTCCCCACACCGGGCCCTCCCCCTCCCCACACCGGGCCCTCACCCTCCCCACACCGGGCCCTCACCCTCCCCACACGGGCCCTCCCCCTCCCCGCACCGGGCCCTCACCCTCCCCACACGGGTCCTCCCCCTCCCCGCACCGGGCCCTCCCCCTCCCCACACCAGGCCCTCCCCTCCCCCACACGGGCCCTCACCCTCCCCACACGGGCCCTCACCCTCCCCACACGGGCCCTCCCCCTCCCCGCAGCCAGCCCTCATCCTCCCCGCAGCCAGCCCTCATCCTCCCCGCAGCCAGCCCTCACCCTCCCCACACGGGCCCTCCCCCTCCCCACACCGGGCCCTCACCCTCCCCGAACCGGGCCCTCACCCTCCCCACACCGGGCCCTCACCCTCCCCGCACCGGGCCCTCACCCTCCCCACACGGGCCCTCCCCCTCCCCGCAGCCCTGTGGCTCCACTCAGTCACACCTTCCTCCCTGACACCGCCATGGGAGCAGATCCCTGTCCTTCTCCCCACCCCACCCCACTGTGAAACACTTTACTCCCCCACGCAGGCTGTTCCCACTGGCTGGGGCTCTGCTAGGGCTGCCCAGTGCCCAGCACGGTGCCTGGTACACAAGAGCAGTTCGAAGGCTTGCTGAGAAGCCAGTGTAGGTGGGGGCTCTGGAGTTGGGCAAATCTGGGTTTAAACCTGGCTCTGCCGAGTCCTCACCTCCCGCCTGAGAAGGAGTCAGCAGAGGACTTTTTCACACGGTCAGTGTGGGCTTGGAGGGAAAAGCTTGTGAAGCACACTGCCTGGATGTAGCGCCTGCTCAGTGGACACCTCTCATTCACTTACCCAGACGACAGCGCCCGTCTCCAGCAGGGTCATTCCACCACTGCTGAGCCTGCTGACATGTCTCAGCCAGTGACAGGTCCTGCGTTCTGCTGGGCGACCCCAGGCCCACCCTGGCCTCCACACCCCACCAAGGGGGTACCCGCTTTCACAGACACCAGACAGCCAGGTCTACCACCAGCAAGTGAGGGCCTCCAGCATCTGCCTCCCAGGCCCCCAGCCACCCCCTTCGATTCAGCCATACCAGTCCAGGGGCACCACTCCACTGTTCTTCAGGGCCAGGAGCACCACAGAGGGTGGGGCCTCTATTGGCGCTGCCCCAAAATTGAAGTCGAGTTTCAGAGGGGTGAAGATGGGGGGGATCTGACTTGTGCTGTATAGGGCAGAGACATGGGCTCAGAGTCAGGGATAGGACAGGGTGGGGCCCTCCAGGGGGTGGCTTGGCACTCATCTTCCTCAGGTGGGAATTAGAGACTCTGCCACTTGGGCAGAGTGGTCAAGCCAATCCCTGCCTTCTCCAGGCCCCTCCAGGGGTGGGCAAAATTTGGGGGGAGAGATAGGGAGCCATTCTTGGAGGGGCCTGGTGCTGGAGTGTGGACAGAAAGCTCTAAGGACATCCCCAAAAGGCCCTGCCCCTCTCCCAGGCTTGGCTCACCTATGCCGGGTGGGCACCTTGTAGGTGAGCTCCTGGGGGGTGGGGTCGCGCTCCAAGTAACTGTTGAGCATGTCCAGGGAGAAGAGGTGCCACAGGTGCCTCCGGGTGATGCCCTGAGCGCTACCCATGGAACAGACATCCAGGACGGAGAGTAAGGGGTACACGGCCATCAGGAAGACGCGGCACAACTCCTGCTTCTCCCCAACCTTGTTATCTGGGGGTAAGGATGTGGATGACAGGAGAGGCTCACCTGCCACCCCTGGGGGAGGGGTGGGCAGGACCTCTGGGCAAACTGCCCTAGGACCTTGTCGGGAGCCGCAGATGTCTCCCAGGCTGTGGGACATTCTCCCAGACGGGGACAGCCAGCCCTTGCCTGGTGATACCACGTATGAGGCGCAGGCCCCAGTGCTCCACACAGACCACTGCACTTGATGTGCACCACACTTGTGCTCAAACCAATTCTTACTAACACCTTTACTGAACATACTTTATACACATAAGCGTAACCGTTTAACACACACAATTCAGTGTTTCCTCTATTTCAGAGCTGTGCAAGCATCACCGCTCTCTAATTTTAGAACATTTTATCACCTCAAAAGAAACCCAGGAGCTGTCACTCCCACTGTCCCCTCCCTCCACCCGTGGTAACCCCTAATCTGCTTTCTGTTTCTAGGGACTTGCCCATTCTGGGCGTCACATACATGGAATCATACACCGTGCGGCTTTTTGGGATTGGATTCTTTCATTCGACATAGTGTTTTCAAGGTCCTTCCACGTGGTAACCTGTATCAGTACTTCTTTATGTTTTCTTGCCTGTGCCCTGTTATTATCCCCATTTCACAGATGTGGAAACGGAGGCAGAGGGAGGTTACACAACCTGCTAAGGTTACATAGTTAATAAGCCCAGGAGCCAGGAGCCAGTCCTGGGCAGTCTGGCTGGAGTCCACACTCTGGGCCACTCCTCTGGGCTGCTCCAGACGCCACCCTGTGGCCCCCAGGCAGGCTGGGAACACCATTCCCCGAGGAGGGCCTGAGGTCCAGGACAGCTAAGGGTTTGGCTGCGATCCCACAGTAAATCAGCACAGCACTAAACTCTTCGCTTCGAGCCCTCCATAGCTCAGCACCGCAAACGTGGACACCCACACAGACAGGTGGTTGGTACGGGGCACACACACCAGTCACCCAAAAGCACACCCTAGCACACTCACACTCATTCTGCTAGCTCTGCCTCCGCACCCCACCCCAAGTCCTGCTCACACAGCCCGCCCCCATTCCTCCAGGCACTGACTCCATCAGGTGGCCCACGTACCTCTGTGGGAGACGAGAGAGTAGCTGACGGTCCAGGAGTACTGGGACCGGTGGCTGGGACGGGCAGTCAGGCAGATGGTGTCCTGGGAGCGGGGTGGAATGCTCCCCTCTGTGCGCTCCAGCTGAAAAGCTGCTCAGGGGTGACCCGGGAGGGGTCAAGGGCACAGGGCCTTCAGTGCAGGCCAGAAAGGCCTTGCCCCACCCCCGCCTGTTCCTCTCCAGATATCCTCCCTGGGGCTGGCATAACACTGGCTACGGAGTAGGCTCTGAGCCAGAAAATCAGGAGCAGAGCCCTCCTCCCAGACCGAGACAGAAGGGACCTGTCTTTGTGTCATTGGCACCTGCTAAACACTTTGCCCCACCTAGCAGCCTGTGAGGTAGGTGCCTCCAGTAGCCCCATTTTACAGATGAGGAAGCTGAGGCTCAGAGGGGGCCAGCCCAAGGCCATACATCTAGAAAGTAGAAGCACCAAGTTTTAAGCTCTGCTCTGCCTGCCCACAGACCTTGGTCTGATGAACTGACCTTAACCAGTGCCCGTCCCCCCGGCCCCAGCCCCAGCCAGGCCCAGTACCGGGAGGGCCGCTGCTCACACCCTCAGGGCTGCTCTGCTCCAGGAACAGGCGATAGTCAAGGGTGCAGTTGCCTTCGTTCAGGAGCACCAGCCACCTGGACTGGTTGCTGTTCACCACCACGTTCCCAAAGTCCAGCTCCTTCTCCTTCGCCTGAGGGCCAGAGTCAGCCAGCGGGGGCCCTGGCTTTCCCACCCCCGGCCCTAGAGAATCCCCAAGGAAAAGAAGGTCCAGGGCCAGAGGGCTCCCATCCGCTGCCCTCTCAGAGTCGGGTCTCCTGGGGTGCCTTGGCCTATGCTCTGGCCCCCAGCACCCCACCCCACCCCAACCTTCCAGGATTCTCTCACTCACAGAGAGGGTGCTGGTGATGCCCATGCCCACCAGCCGGATCATGTAGTGGGTGGTGCGGGGGGGCTTGACGTTTGGGGGCAGGTTGGCTTCCCAGACACAGACCCCCACTCGGAACAGGTACTTGGTCTCCTCCAGGGGGCTGAAGGTCCACGTCAGCGTCTGCAGTCACAGAGATTCTCCCTGTGTGGGATCGTGGAAACCCCCTGCCCAGACTCCTGGCTGAGGTCCCATCGCAAGGTATCAAGCTATGGGAACCCTTTCTGAGTGTTTACCTTACATACGTTGTATATTATGTTCCTTCCCTAAGCCTCTGAATCCTTTGTCCCCTCCCAGGAAATGGTGCTATTTTAGTGCTTCATTTTCTGATAGAAGCTGGAGACTCAGAGAACTGGGTAACCTGCCCAAAGTCACATAGCTGGTGAGGGCGCTCAGTGGGAGCTGGGGGTGCGCTGTTAGGCTGCCTCCAGAGTCTGTGGTCTCTCGCCTCGCCGGTCACTACCCCTACCGTGTGTTGGTGGTTTGTGGCCTGTTTAGCCTCCCAACCAGTCTGTAAGGTCCTAGACCAGGACGGGGATCTGCTAGTTTGGATCTCAGCCTGTGTTCCCCTTCAGACAGCCACTGGGACCACTAGGAGTCCCTCTCCTCACTCCCAAAGACAGTCACCCCCTGACCCCAAATCCAGGTGCCCCCCCCTGTAATCGCATAGTCTGGGGACCATGGGTGAAGGGTGGACTCGCCTCTGGGCAGTGGTATCAGAAACCCTGCTGTGAGGCCAGCTCTGCACCTCCTAATTTCTAATCTTAGAAATGGATTTTTCTTCTCTAAGTCTTCATTCTTTTTTGTAAAATGGGAAGTGATAACTATCACACCTGCTCATAAGACTGGGGTGGGGGGTGATCATGGATTGAGTGGGGGGGCACATAGTAAGCCTGGCCCCTGAGAGGTGGTAGGGGTGAGGATGGCGGTACCCTGTCCCCTGGCCCTCGGCAGTGGGGCAGGGAACTCACAAGGCTCTCGTTGGGTTGGATAAGCCCCCTGGCAGGCTGGACGGCCAGCATCCGTTGGTACTGCTGGGAGATCCTCCACTCAAACTCCAGGGGCAGACGTGAGGGGTTGGAGAAGGTGAAGAGGCTGGTGGAGGAGAAGCCCACCTGGGTGGGCTTGAAGAAAACGTTTTTGTAGGTGTCCAGCTTCAGCTGCAGTGGCTCCTCCCGGCTCTGCATGCTCACCTCCTGGGGCCAGAGAAGAGAGGGCAGTACCATGGCCTCATCCCATAGCCCGGGATCCCCTGAATGCCCAGAAAGCCATGGGTGGGCAGCTCTTCCCTCTTGGAGAAAGCCGCACAAGGCCCTCCATCAGCCTGGGCACCTTCTGTCAAGGCAGGCACCTTCGGGATTGACTCAGGAGGTGGCTCTCGGGAAGAGTTCAGGGACTGAGAGAGGATGTACAGACCATTTCATGGGCCAGATATGGGTCCACCACCCCTGCCTCCTACCTTGAGGTACTGAGGGCAAAAATTGAACTGCAAGTAAAAAGTGTGCTGCTTCCAGGAGTTGCCCCGGGGGCAGGTGCAGATGAGGGAGATGTGGTGGGCCCCAGGGGCCACGAGGCCTGAGCTGGGCCGCAGGGAGAGGTCTGAGCTGCCTCTGGGGGCCAGGTTGAAGGTCAGCAGCATGGAGCCTTTGTTGGTCAGGAGCAGGCTGCAGTAGGAGGGCTCACTGGGAGACACTGCAGGAAATAGCTGGGGTGCAAGAGAAGAGGGACCCATGCTCAGATCTACACGCCCTCCCACCCCTGGCACACACTCAGGCAAGTCTGCGTGGGCTTGGGTAGGGCTATCTCCAAGGGGATCCAAGAGGCCTCCACACGTCCCAGACACTTTCCTGGGAGCCGGGGATGGAGGGAGGCCACAGCTTGGCACCAAAAAATGCTTCCGTCCTCCAGAGACCTCCAGACAGGGAGATGAAGTCACCGTGAGAACTGGCCCCAGAAAACTCAAGCCTTCCAGACCCCTCCTCAAGGTTAAGGAGAAATTCTTTCATTTTAGGGTGCTCTCAAATCATCTTTTGGAGAACCCACTTTCAGAGATCCTCGTCTAGAAGCTCTGGGGTAAGCAGCTCCTTCTAGATGGTTCTCCTATAGGTGGCCAAGGGGAACCCCGCTTTGAGAAAGTGAAAGGCCCAGCAATCCCAGCTTCCAAACACTCCTTAAGCATCAAGGGTGTGGTCAGCACATCCTAAGAGCTGAGCAGGCCGCAAAACACAGGCCCAAGGTCGCTGACCAAGGTGCCCGCTGGGCACCAAGCACATTGCGTGAGGCAGCGGGGTCGCGACACGCACGGGCCCAGCATGTGCTCTATGGCAACAAAGGCCACGTGCCACCCGAAGGAACTGGCCAAGGGAAACCCTGTGCAGTCAGGGAGGACCATGGGGAGGGGTGCCCCTCTGCAGAAGAGTAGCTGCAGGGAGGAGCAGGAACACCCCAGCTCACTCTCCAACAGTGGAGATATGAGGGTAGTGAGGATGGATGAACATCTGGCCACGGCATTGAAAGAGAAACCAGAATTGGAACATGGCTGTCTGGCTCCAGGGCCAAGTCCTATGTCATCCTGCTGCTCAGAGAGGAAAGGCCTGGGAAGTATGACTCCCCGAGGAAGGAGCTAAGCCAAGGGGCTGGCTCTGTGGCCCATGCAGGCCTGGGTGATCCCCACAGGCAGGGGTTCATGCTGTGGTGGTCCTACCCCCAACAGGTTCAGTAAACAGGCCGCAGACAAATGAAAGATCTGGAGAGTTTTAACCCGGGTGTGAGAGGATGGGGAAGTATTTCAGATGGAGCGGGCAGGAACCAGCTGTCCAAGCCCCAGACTGTCCCCGGTTCCAGGGCTGTGGCCTAGGAGAGTCCTCTACTGGCCCAGAGCCCCAGGGGCTGAGAGTGGGGAGGCTGGGACAGCCAGGGAGGTGCTGGGATGCGCTTCTCAGAGCATCAGAGAAGGGAGGGGGTCTGCAGGCCAAGGCAGAAGCCAGGCTCTCCTGTCCCACCTCCCCCTGCTGCTGGGCCATGCTCACCTTGGGGACCTCCAGGGAATACTGGGGGATGTGGTGCTCCAAGGCAGCACGATAGCTGTGGCCTCGTGCCCGGAGTGTCAGGCACCAGGACGGGCACACGGTGCAGTCCTCCTCGATATTACTGAAGTTCTGCAGGACCTGCAGAGGCGTCCAACCCACGGGCGAGCTCAGAGTCCTGTGTCTGACCCTGTGCAGCACCCCAGCCTGCCCCCTGTACTGCAGGAGTGCTACATGGGGCACAGAGGGAGGGGCTCCCTGGGAAGACAGTGCAGACATCGGCAGCCCCTCCCACTGTGCGCCTGGCTCCCCACACTGAGCGCTCAGCAAACACTCTAATCCTCAGCAGCCCTGGGACATCCTGGGGAAATGTGCCTAGAGAAGCGATGGCCAATAGAAACATCACAAGAACCACAAATGTGAGCCACAGACGTAATTTTAAAGGTCCTAGTAGCCACATTAATAAAGTGAAACATATGAACTTAATTTCAATTTTGTTTTATTTAACCCAATAAATCTAAAATCTTATTTCAACATATAATCAATATATATGATTTGCGAGCTATTTTACATTCTTATTGTGCTAAGTCTTCGGAATCCAGAGTGTCTTTTAGCCTTAGAGCACATCTCAGCTTGGACTGGCCACATTTCAAGTGCTTGGAGGCCACCTGTGGCCGGCGGCGGCCGAATCGGACAGCGCAGGGCTAGGCATGTAGCCTGAAAACCTGACGGGCTGGCCACGGCAGGTGTCCACAGCCTCATTTCTACAGACCTCCACATTCTACTGCCAAGATATTAGAATGGAGGCAATTAAAGACTCAGCTTTAGAGAGCCTTCTTGAAAGTTTGGACATGACCCCAAGGAACGGATGGAAAGACCAGGGCTCAGAGACATTAAGGGACTTGCCCAAGGTCACATGGCTGGTAAGGGACTCTAATCTTGACTCAGCTTTTCTCGCGACCCCAGTACCCAGACACTGGAAGAGGAAGCAGGGGGCAGAGCTGAGAAGGGAGAAGTAAAGGGCAGGACCGGCTGGATATGAGGGAATGATGTGTGCCTGGGACTGCGGCCGGGCTGCTGTCACCTGTGCTCCTCCTTCCTGGCCAAGGGAAGCTGGGCTAGAAGCCCCCCCCCCCCCCATCTAATTACCTGGTTCCTGCCCATGGCTCTTCTAGAGGGACTACTTCCTAGTTCGGGTCTAGAAGAGAAGCCAGGAGCCCACGGAGCTACTCCTCGTCCACCAAAATCTCCCCAAGGGCTGGACCCCAGCTGAGTTCTCCCCTCTGGAGCGGGTAGGAGGCCACACAGGACTGAGACATAATCAGACGGGCCAAGAAGCCCCTCAGCCAAGGGACAAACCAGTCAGGCTGCTGTCCAGTCAAGAAGACAGGAGAAGGCACGGAGAGGATGGACCCTGTGGCAGCCCTCTGTCACCTCCTCGGACCCCAACCCGCCATTCAGGTTCCGGGACAGAGAACCTGCCTCCCCGCCCTGCCTGCCTGCACACACCTTGTAGACAGCGAAGGCTTCAAGCTCCACGGCGTAGAGGCCACTTGGGTGGGGCGGCTGGAAGTGCAGGCGCATGGCCGTGGACTTGAGCGGGGGCACATCGCAGGTTTCTGGGGTCACCCAGAAGGGGCAGTCAGACCTGCGTGTCCAGACCACAGTGATCTTGCCCTTGGTGTGGTTCATTAGGCACAGTGGAACAGGGCTGGGACCCTCAGGCCCGGGGCAGGCACCGAAATCCACCTCGCCAGGCTCCAGGCTGACAGGTGGGGGGAAGATGGCCACGTCTCTGGTGCCATCAAAGAAGTACTCAGTCATGGGGGGGATGATGGGATACTGCAGGGCTGGCCTGTCCTCCGGGTCCTGGTGGGAAGAACAGGTGGGTGGAGGCCCAGCTGCCATTCCTCCTGCATGCCCTTCATCTGTATATTCCTTTCTGGAAAAAGCTGTAAGAGCTCTAAACAGGTCACCCCACAGCACTCTGGGGGCACGGGACTTCCCAAGAATTGCTAGAGTAGGGGGCATAAACCTGGGAGGGTGTCCTGCCCCCCAGTGCCCAGTGGGGTCCATCGAACCTCTGGGGGAATCACAAGAGCGCCGTTCTTGTCCTGCTCCAGCTTCTTCTCGCTCAGCATGAGGCCCAGGATGTCAGGGGGGTAGAGTGCCAGGCCCCTCACCAGGTGTGTGCGGTACCAAGTGAGGTGCTGAGGCCTCAGGATGGCTGGCTTGGTGCTGTCTGAGTGACAGGTCCCAATCAGGTCCAGGAACAGCGGCTCCTGTGACATTTGTCCATGTGAGGCTAGATTTCAGCCCCCACCCACTGCAAGGCATCAGTTGGTCAGGGCACAGTTTGAGTGAGCTTGCCAGGAGCGTGTGTTTGGGTGCTCATTTTAAAGCTCTTGGTCCTGCACATGCTCTGTGGGGTGAGGTCCATCCCCCCTCTCCCTAGCAACAGCAGCAGCAAAGTCCCTGGCCCGGAGCAGTCAGGGCAAAGTGGGCACACCCACGTGGCTCAGTGCACTTGGTGTGGTCCTGGCCACGCTGTGGCTCCAAAACCCAGGCTGGGGCCCTGGAGGAGATGATCCGGGCAGACACAGCCCCAGAAGTTCCAGAATACAGAGGTGAGCACCAAGCACTGTCTTCATCACTGGGCCTCAGAGTGGCCCCTCCAGCTCCCAGGGAAGCCCCCCCCTCGACCCCTCCCCTACCACTCACCTGGTGGTGGATGAGACAGGCCACTCGCCGAAAGTAGATGATGGGGTGAGTGGGCTGGAAGGCACAGAGCAGGGTCATGCGGGCCTTGCCCACCAGGGTCCCGAAGGTAGGTCGGATGCTGAAGACACTCTCCTGGCAGTCAATGGCAAACTGGAAGTGGGCCGTGCAGTCCGATTTGTTCTCAATCCCCAGGGACAGCTCTGGGCGCTCTCCGAGGTTGACCCAGCTGAAGTTGATGCAGTAGTGCTGCAGGGACACATCAGGACCTGGGCATAGGAGATGGGGTCCCTGTGAGTGGGCCCTGCTACCTGGGTGGGGCTAGAGTATCAGCCTCCCCAAGGGTGTCTCAGGAAGGGTCCCATTGATAGGAGGTGGTGCTGCCTGGAGACAGAGGCCAGGCTGGAAGGGCTGGGAGCCCCAGCAGCCTGGGCAGACCTCCAAGTCACCAGGAGTGAAGGCAGGCACAGGATCAGGTGTCCTCAACTGATTCCTCACTGAGCCCACCAGGGGGCAGCAGACACCAAGGCTGAAGGGCAAGGAGGCACCCAGCTCTCAGGAGGCAAGGAGCATTTCCCCACCCTAAGCATGGGCTGCTTCTGTCCCGAGAAGTCCTGGGTTGCCAGTACCTCTGCAGAAACCAACGACTTTAAGCAGGGTTTGGGAGGCACTGCCAGAGGGCATAACAGAGAAGTAGTCCACAGTTCTGACGTCCAAGGTCTCCGGGTGGAAAAACACCGACACATATTTCTTCCCTCTTGGGGGCACGGTGCCATAGGCCGTGGGGCATGAGAAGGCCTGGTCTTTGATCAGCATGTCTGGGACCACTTCAATCTTGAAGGGGGCACTCACCTGGGGGGCACACGTGAGAACAGGAGCAGTCAGGTCACAGGGTGGGGCAGTCTGTCATTACCAAGGTGCCTAGCCAAGGGGGTGAAGGCAGTTGGCATCCAGCCTGTGCCTCACTTGTCAGCTTTGGGCATGGCAACTCTACCTCCAGCAGGAGTAAGAAAGGGGCCAAGCTGTGTGCCCTGTACTGGGATGGACCAGAGGGGAACTTCCCCCGGACAAATGTACCGTAAGGCTAGCTGTGGTTCTGGGGTCAGGACAGTCCTGGGGCTGCTCTTGGGATTGATCTGGAGGATCGGGGAATACCTCAGCACAGCCCCCCAGCTGAGAGGAGAGGGGACACCTGTTGACACATATGTGTATAATAGAATGGGTTATGTGAGGCTTGGAGCCCAAGGTGTGGAAAATAGGGGGCATTTAGAGAGGGGTGGGCTTCAGGAGCACCCAGCCCCACAAGCACAGGATGCATACCGCCGACGGATTATGTAGCTGGATTTGCCTCTCAGCGGTGCGGCCCACAGCCACGGAGCCGAAGTGCAGTACTTTCTGGAAGCCCTCAATATCCTGGTCCTGTGGCTGCTTCTGCTTTATGCTCACCAGCAGCTGGGCACATTTGGCTGGGGCAGAGATCGGGGATGGGGGGGCAGGTCTTGGGGAAAAACCCACCAGGGCCTTTGTGGCCCCAGCTGAACAGCCCCTTGAAGAAGGTAGGTGTCTCTAGAAAATCACTGGCCTATGACAGCAAGGAAGGCAGAGGAAAGGCAAAGTCTGCAGGGATAGGGGGAGGGCGGGAAGTTGGCAGACGTCCTGTGGGGGCCAGGCCAGGGCAGAAGGTGGGGCAGGGGACACACCCAGGGAGGTGCAGCAGGTGGGCTCTGGGGACAAGGGAGAGGCTGAGCCTCACCTATAGCCTGCAGCTGGATGCTGCTCTTCTGTTTGCTGTCCCCGCCATACCAGCACGTGGCCTGAACTTCATGGATGGCAGCCACAAGAGGCTGAAAGGTCACCTTGATCCGGCAAGCCTGACCTGGCTCCAGCAGCCCTGTGGTGGGCAGCATCTGGAATGGGCTTGAGAACTCCCAGGTGAAGAAGGTGGGCAGGTCCCTGGAGGGTGGGGCAAGTCAGAGCCACTGGGCTCATTCTGCTTACTGCTCTGCTTTAGAAAGGTGGAGATGCTGGGTAGCACCCTCGACTCCCCCCTCTCCCCACCAGACAGCCGGTCTTTCCTCTCCCAGGTACCCTCCTCAGTGTTTGCTCTCCCCACCTGTGTGCCTCACCCTACATTGTCCAGGCAGAACCAGGCCTCAGCTGTGTCCCCCACAGCACACATGGGCAAATGCAGGGATGGTGGGCAGATCAGACTGTGGCAAGGCAGGGTGGCCCTCAGGTCCACACAGAACACCCCCTCTGCTTTCTCAAACCACAGCTGGTCCATGTACTCCTTCTGCAGTGTTGGGGAAGGGGGATAGAGGCGGTCCCTGGTCAGTGATACCTGGGTGGTACTCAGGGACCATACATCAGACCCCAGCCCTTGGCCATCCCCCCAACACGCCACTGAGCAGTGGGCTAGGCTGTGGCCTTCTCTCTCAGTCTCTCTGGAGAGGGTGGATTATCTGTCTCAGTCTCAGAGATATGGGGCCTCTTCTGCGGGGAACAAAGTATTTAGAGGGAACATTTTGAGAGCAGGAAGAGGCCAAGGAACCTGGGGCTTTCTGATGACTAATATAGTAGCACAGCCAACATCCAACTGGAAACCCCTCCATCTAATGAGTTTAATGTCTGAGCTTCTCCAGGGCTTCCCAAGCTAGAGTTCTGCTACAGTTGGTGGGATGTGTGCACGGTCGGGGCTCTTTGTTGCCCTGTCAGTTCCAAGGTCACTGTGCACGTGTCCCTCACTGCCCTCTGCTTGCCAGGGTAGACCTTACCTTCTCCAGAGGCCGGAAGATGATGGGGAGCGTGATGGTTATGCCTGGGCTCAGGAGGATGGGCTGAGGAATAACTGTAAAGAAGAACTTGGTCTTGGGGGGCCTGCAGGAGAGAATCCGAAGACAAGCACTCAAGGTCAGGGCAGCGTGATCAAGGGAAGACCCTAGAAAGCTAAGGGCACTTGAGTCCTTGAGACCATAAAGGGGGAAACCCAGGGGCTCTTTCACAGGAGAACCTGACCCCCTTGTCTTATTATTCTTGTTACAGACCTTCACTCCAGATGTCAGAGCACCAACCAAAAAGATATAGGAGCGAGGGGCAGTACTTGTATCGGATGCCCATGGCGGGCATGGGAACAGGGTTGGGGCAGGCTGCCACCCCCGAGTGCTCAGCTGGGGAAACTAAGGTGGGAACAGAGGTACTGCGGATGCCTTTTCAAGCAGAGACCTTGACAGAGCAATAGAGCTCCAGGGTGAGTCCAAACTGTAGGTACTGCAGCCGTTAAGAATATTAATAAGAAAATGATACTGCCAACAACTCTGTACCAAAAAATGTTAAAGTTTATATGAATGTGTTTACATTCCTAAGCAAGCATAACTTACCAAGCTAACTTAAGAATTAAACAATAAATTTTACAGCCATCCTTACTAAAATAATCAAATAAGTTGTATATGTAGTCAAATCTTCCCATAAGAAAATGCTAGGCTGGATGGCTTCACAAGTCCTACCAAGCACTGGGTAACAAATAATCCCAGCCTTAGCTTCCCAATAACATAAAATGAGAAAATACTCCCCAACGTATTCTATGAATCCATCATAACCTGACCAAGGCAGGAGAAGAATGAAAAAATTACAGGCCAATATCACCCATAAATAAAATATTAGCTAAAAGACCTTAGCAATGTATAGAAAAAATACTCAATCATAAGCAAGTTGGACTTATTCTAGGGATACATGGTTGGTTTAACATAGAAAATCAATGTAATCCACCATATTAACAAATTTTTTACAAATCAAATGATCATTTAATTTAAAAATATTAGCCTGGCTGTATGGCTTAGTGGTTGAGCATCAACTCAAACACCAAGAGGTCACTGGTTTGATTCCGTCAGGGTACATGCCCAGGTTGTGGGAGGGCATGTAAGAGGCGGCAAATCAATGTTCTCTCTCATCAATGTTTCTCTCTTTCTTTCCCTCTCCCTTCCTCTCTCTTTAAAAATCAATAAAGAAAAAAAATTAAAAATTTAAAAAAAAACAGTCTGCCCGACTGGTGTGGCTCAGTTGGTTGAGCATCGTCCCATGCACCAAAAGGTGACCAGTCCAATTCCCGGTCAGGGCACATGCCCTGGTTGCGGGCTCAATCCCCGGGGGGGGGGGGGGCATGCAGGAGGCAGCCGGTTGATGTTTCTCTCTCACATCAGTGTTTCTATCTTGTTTCCTTCCTCTTTCTCTCTGAATAAATGAAAACATATTTAAAAAATAAAATAATTAAAAAGACAACCTAATAAAAAAAAAAATAGCCCTCTGGTGTGGCTCAGTGGTTGAGCATTGACCCACACACCGAAAGCTCGCGGGTTCGATTCCTGGTCAGGGCACATGCCCAGGTTGTGGGCCCAATCCCCAACAGGGGACATGTAGGAGGCGGCCAATCGATGTTCTCTCATAGATGTTTCTATCTCTCTCTCCCTTCCACTCTAAAATAAATAAATAAATAAAAATAGGCACATAGACTTAAACAGGAATTTCACAAATGAAATGGTCAATAATGTATGAAAAGACACACAACTGTATTAGTAATCAGGGAAATACAAATTTAAAACTACAACAAATTACCATTATTAGCAAAAAAAAATGTTTTCCTGACAATAGCAATTGTTGGTAAAAATGTGGAGGGATGGGAACTCTCATACGTGGCTGGTGGGAATATAAACAATACAAGTATTTTGGAAAATAGTTTGGCTTTATCTACTAAAAGCAAATGTACATGTTCTAAGTCACAGCAGTTCTACTCTTATGTATCTACCATAGAAATACTCTATACTTGGTCCTGGCTGGTTTGGCTCAGTGGTTGGAGCGTCAGCCCACGGAACAGAGAGACCCGGGTTCGGTTCCCACTAAGGGCACATACCTCAGTTGCAGTTTGTCCCCAGCCCCTGTTGGAGTTATGTGAGGGGCAACCAGTCAATGTGTCTCTCTCAAATTGATGTTTCTTTCTTCCTCCCTCTTTCCCTCCCGCTTTATCTGAAGATTAAAAAAAAAAAAAAAAAAGTCCTGGGGCAAGGATAAAAAAAAAAGAAAAACTCTATACTTGTGCAACCAGAAAGTATACATGAATGATAACAGTCTCAAACTGAAAAGAGCCCAAATGTCCCTCAACAAAAGAATGAATGAATACACTATAATACTGTATAAGCATACATTAGAATATTAAACTGCAACGAAAAAGGATGAACTAACTATAGCTGCACATGGATGGGTCTCACAAACATAACTGAGCAAAATAAAAGTGTTAAAAAGTGTATCGTGTTATTCCACTTATATAAAGTTCAAAACAAGGTAAAATTAAACTATCATTTAGGGATACAAACATAGGTGGTAAATCCATTGAGAAAAGCAAGAAAATCATTATCATGAAACAGGATAATGATTACCTTTATGGTAAGGGAGGTCTTCCAATAGGGGAGGGACACACAATGGGAGAAAATGAGCTTTGGCCACTGTTATTCTATTATCTAACCTGGTTGCATGGGTTCCATTTTTGATAATTCTTCAAACTGTACATGTTTTATACACTCTTCTGAATTTTTTTTTATTCTTCACCTGAGGATATTTTTCTACTTATTATCAGATAGAGTGGGAGGGAGGGAGAGAGAAAGACCGAGATAAACATCGATGTGATAGAGTCACATCGACTGGTTGCCTCCCGCATGACCCGACCAGGGCTGGGACAAACCACAACCGAGGTACGTGCCCTTGACCGGAATCGAACCTGTGACTCATTGGTCTGTGGGCTGACACTCTAAACGCTGAGCCAAACCAGCCAGGGCTATACTCTTCTGAATTTATATGACATTTTCAAAGATTTTTTAAAAAGAGTGCTTGCTTTGGGAGCTTGAGGACTCAGGAGATGGGTCTCTGAACCCTCACACTTATACCTGTACTTCATCTTCTGGATTTTCAAGGATAGGTTTTTCAGAACCAGGTTCTTGGTGATCTCCTTCCCTAGCTCCCAGCCTTTCCACAGCAGCTCCTCAGCCACCTCGATGCCCCAGATGACCCTCTTCTTCACTTTGTCCTGCTTCTTCGAGAAGCACATCTGAATGTCCATGGAGCTGGTTGGCTGTTCAGTTGGCAGACAGACAGAAGGACAAATTATTGGGATAGGACTCAAAGACCCAGGGTACAGGCAAAGATCTCTCCACCTGCAACAATTAATGAATCACACCTCACCCTGGGGGATGGTCTGGGGAGAGAAGGTGAGGGGTAGGCAGACCTTGGAATCAGGTACCTCTTCCAAGATCACTGGAATGATTTTCCAACTAGATTCCCTGAGACCTGCCCCTAAAGCCTTCCCCGTACCACCTCATCTGGCCATTCCATCGGCACACTAAGTAGTCTTAGTTGGCCTATGCTGTGCCTCCGTGAACCCTCACATACCACTACTCCCGGATGCTGCCTTCTCCTCCTCTTCCTCCCCATCTTCCCCCTTCACTGCAGAAGCCTCTTATAGCCGAAGTGGCCTATCCCAGGCACTCTTCCAGACCACAGTGATACTCCACCATTCCCTCTCATCCCTCCACTGGCTGATGGAGCAAAGGAAGGAGCCAATTTGCCTGCAACCAACCCTACCCCATGCCCTGACTTTGGGGCCACTCCAAACACTACTCCGGATGACACCAGAGGCACCATGTACCAGTGCTTCCATCTATAATGGGAAATTCTTTCATGGGCTGATCCCTAATTCCTCTGTTTGAAGAGGGAGGGGAATGGAAACCCCCGAGGGCCAAAGTGGAAGGAGGAGGAACCAGGTGTCTCTTTCTGCCACAGTCATTGCTGTGAAGGCTCAACTCATTATCAGTCTATTGCATCTTTGCCCAAGGACTGCTTTAATATTGTTATATATCATGAGGTTATATTCATCTGTCCAACAAGTATTTGTTGACTACCTCTTCTGAGCCAGACACGGAGCTAGGTGCCAGGACAGCACCAGTGAACAAGACTGACAAATCCCTCCTCTCTTGGAAGTTACACTCTCAGCGTCAATATTTACAGAGTGTCAGCTGGCCAATATAGTATTTTCTTTCCAATCTGCCCATGGAGTAAAGGTGGCATGGGTGAGCAAGGGTGATTTATTAAAAATATCCGTTGGTGCCCAGCTGGTGTGGCTCAGTGGTTGAGCGTTGACCCAGGCACCAAGAGGTCGCTGGTTCAATTCCTGTGGCACATGCCCAGGTTGTGGGCCCAGTACCCAGTGGGGGCATGCAGGAGGCGGACAATCGATGTTCTCTCTCATCGATGTTTCTAGCTCTCTCTCCCTCTCCCTTCCTCTCTCTTATAAAATCAATTTTAAAAAAAATATCCGTTGGTGCATTGGTCAAGTCCAACTAGGAAAACAGAAGCCATTCTGGGTATTTGAAACAAGGAATTTAATGCATAACTAGGGGATAGTGAAGTAACCTGCTCTTAGAGAGAACCCCGGTCACATAGAGAGAACTCTAAGAGCTTCAAAGAGTAATCAACATCCAAATATGGGTTAAACACAGAGTCCTAGGGGCATGACAAGAAGAAACTTCGGAAGGAAAAGAGAGCTCCTGGCTACTCTATCTGCCTCCAACTCACATGCCCCTATACCCTCCCCCCGCTGTCACTCACTGCTACCACCACTCCAGCCAGCTTGGTGCTCCCTCTCTGCAGGGTCTAGTGCTGGGTTAGACAGGAGAGTCAGGTCCTTTCAGAGTCCTACCCACCCCTACGGCCCCCCTCCCCCAGCCCTCCCCTGCTGCACCCTGCCCCATCTGCCCGCACGTGTGCTCACACGGGCACTGACGCTGCTGCTGCAGGCGCTCATGGCAACACTGCTGCCCTCGATAGTGGGAATGGCCACTGTGCTGGTACTCAGGTATGATCTGGAGGTCATGGTGCAGTCCCTGTTGTCCCTCGTCCTTGCGATGGGGCTTGGAGCTGCCTGGATGAACACCGGGACACAAGTTTAAGGGGAGCACTCTGGCTGAGCCAGAGGTTCCTGCCAGTTTGGAGCTGGGAAGAGACCAGAGGAGAGTCAGGAGGGACATGAAAAAGAGAGGCCGATGGAGTAGACTCTACATGCCCGTGGAGGAGTGCCTGCTTCCCAGCTTTGGCAACAGGTGTGAGGTGACACCATAAGGAACAAGCCCGAATATAAGATCCAGGCCTTTTCGTGGGAGCCTAGAGACTCACGTTCAGCAAAGGCACTTGGAAGAGGGACGCTACCCTCCATGGCCACACTGGCACTTTCTAAAAAGCCCCCAGTGAGAGGTACTGAAGCATATATATTACCTTTTTGTTTTTATGTTTTTACTGATTTTTTTTAGAAAGAGAAGAAGGTGCCCTGGCTGGTTTGGCTCAGCGGTTAGAGTGTCAGCCTGCGGTCCAGAGAGTCCCGGGTTCGGTTCCCACTAAGGGCATGTACTTTGGTTGCAGTTTATCCCCGGCCCTGGTTGGGTCGTGCGGGTGGCAGCCACTCGATGTGTCCCTTTCACGTTAATGTTTCTCTCTCTCTCTCTCTTCCTCTCTCTCCCTCCTGCTCTAGCTGATCAAAAAAATGGAAAAATGTCCTTGGGTGAGGATAAAAAAAATAAACTAATTAATAGAAAGAGAAGAAGGGAAAGAAATAGAAACAGTCATCGGCTGCCTCCTGCACACCCCACCCTGGGGATCGAGCCTGTAACCTGGGCATGTGCCCTGACCAGGAATCGAACTGGAACCTCTCAGTCCATGGGACGACACTCAATTTACTGAGCCACACCAGCCGGGCCTATATGCATTACCTTTGTCTGGCTTTTACTCTATTTCTTTTCTCTGAATGTGTCTTGCTTCCTGTGAGGAGAAGAATAGGAGTAAAGAGGCAAATGAGACAGGAGGGCTCTCCGTCTTCTAGGTTTCCTCTATCAGTATGCAACCTGGAGGCCAGGGTTTTTGTTGTTGTTGTTGTTTTGTTAATCCTCACCCGAGGATATTTTTTTCATTAATTTTTAGATAGAGTGGAAAGTGGGGGAGGTGGGAGAGAGAGAGAAACATGGATGTGAGAGAGACACATCGACTGGTTGTCTCCCACATGGCCGGGTTCAAGGATCGAACCTACAACCCAGCTATGTGCCCTTGACCAGGAATCAAACACGTGACTCTTCAGTCCTCAGGCCAACACTCTAAGCCAATCCCGCCAGGGCTGTAGCCCAGGTTTAAAGTAAGCACTCACTGAAATAATGACTCCTTCCACGGATAAATGAATCAACCTTTAAAGCAGAGGGATCTATGGATGAACTGCAGCTGGAAATTATATACAAAGTATCATGTGTATGGGCCTGTGGCCTTTTCCAGGGAGAGTGTCCACAGCTTTCACCAAATGCTCAGAAGGATGCTTGGCCCTGCTGTAGGAGAACACACAAATGTCTCAAGCTGGCTGTGGTTCCATCTCCTCAAAGTCCCTCTTCCTTCAGCACACACCCAGGCGTGGCTGTCATATTGGACAGCATCAATCTAATACCTTTTGAACATATGTATATTTTGCAGACAACTCAGTATCCTTCCCCACCTCTTTGAATAACAATATCAAAATTAACAAAAACTTCTACTGATATTTACTGAGAACTTTCCAGGTGCCAGGCAGTGTTGTAAGGCCTTCATATGTACTTTAACCCTTAAAACAGTTTATGATTAAATGTGAATTGTCTTTCATTTGGTTTAAAATTTTCTTTTTTCAGGTTTGTAAGCTCCTTATTATAATATATTATGCTTTAGTAAACAATTTTATGATCACCCTTTAGAAATGTACACACTTCCATCAGACATTCTCTCATCCCATCCCCACCACCCATCCAGAGCAAACAATTCTGTTCATTCAGTTTTTCCTAATTGGCAATATCTCCAAACCCTCTGGAGGGGACTATCTTAGATTCATTCATTCATTTATTTACTGAGTGCCTGTTAGGCACTGGACAAGAGAGGCAAGGCCCCTTTCTTCAACTGTGAAGTGCACGTTCAAATGGAATCAAAGAAATACAAGCTGAGGAGACAGAGAAAAGGGTCCCATTGCTTTTCTCCTACTGGATGGCTTTGTAGTTCTACCCTGACACATTAATGTCTGTGACTGCAGGGGTTTCTACAGACAGACCCTGCCTCGGGGCTCTGAAAAAGTCTCCAGCCAACACAGGGAACATCCCAGCATAGATAAGATGAGAGAGGGCGAGGCAGAAAACTCGTCCAGGCCAGGGCCTAGGTACTAGTCCTGGAGCAAGGAAAGCTGGGTTCCGGCATCTGCTTAGATTCATCTGCGGTGGGCAAGTTTCTCCAAGTCCCAGAGCCTCAGTCTCCTCGCCTGGAAAGTGAGGGTGTTGCTAACTATTTCACAAACTTGATGTGAAGCTCAAATGAAATAGGGGATTTGAAAGAGCCCCAGATAAACCTCTGTTACTATAATTAACAACGGTAACCTCCACACTAGCCTGCACCACTCTTCCAAAAGGCACACCTGCAATCATCGTGAACACACTGGGCAAGGAAGTGGTGTTTTTAATCCAATTTCCTCATCTCAAGGGCTTTAAAAAATATATTATCAGCTTGCTTAATTTTCTAATTCCAACCTAAATATTCCTAAGATGACCAGTGGAAAAAGAGGCAGGTCGTCGTGTAGAGTTGAGGGAGGAAGAAATGGGTAAAATGAAGGGGCAATATCTACTTAGAGCTGTTCCTCCTTTCTCTTCGGGATCCCCAGTCTGATTGATCTCGCCCAAGTCTCAGTCCCACGGAACTCTCTGAAGGAGATGGAGGGGACCCCGGGCCACTTCCCGGAGGAGGCGGTCTCCCGGTGCAGATACCTTCCCTGGCCACTCGCGCCGCCCCCTGGGTCGCTGGGTCTGTGGGTTCCCAGGATCAACGCTCAAATCTCACACCACCGCCATGTTGCCGTCTCCATAGATACAGGACGCACAGGACGCGGCGTCTCCTGGTATCCCAGGGCAACGACGGCAGCCGGAATGAGTCTTGGCAGGCAGAAGGCGAAAGCGCCGCCCAACTTTATTTCCTATCCTCATTCTAAATTGTCTGGCTTTTCTTGCCAATAGTAACTGGGCTTCCACCAGCCGCACCATGGTGTGTACAATCCCTTAGCTGCCGTGCCGTCCCCGCCATCGTGGCTTTACTTGACGACCAAATCTACAGAAGGCTATTTCACGGGGTCCTCACCTCCGCAGTGGCAGGCGTTCCTGCTCTTTCCCCACGGCGGTTGGTGACATAGGGTCAGAATCTCAAGCGGAACTTCATTCCGTGATTGCCATTTAAAAGCAGCTCCTAGGCCCTGGCTGGTGCAGCTAAGTGGCTAGAGCGTCAACCCATGCACTGAAAGGTTGAGGGTTCGATTCCTGGTCAAGGGCAGGTACCTGGGTTGCGGGTTCAACCCATCCTGGTCAGAGCGTGTTGGGAGGCAACCAGTGGATGCACACATCGATGTTTCTCTCTCTGTCTCTCTCCCCCTCCCGACCTTCCACGCTTTCTAAAAATCAATGGAAAAAATATCCTTGGGTGAGAATTAACAAAAACAATAAATAAAAATTTTTTAAAAAGCAGCCCTTAGAATTTCTTATTTGCACATTGCTTTGCAAATGGCTTCCTTTTGCTGATTGGAGAGAAGGTGTCCTTAGCTCCTGGCCAGCACAAAGTTAACTCTTTGAAGGGATCTGAAGGTTAATGTATGAAGAACGCATTGTTATACATACTGTGGATTTTGGGAAGCCCTTTGTTCACTAGTCTGGATGTACATTGTGGGGGAATATGTCTTTGGTGGTTAAAGCCAAAAGTCTAAACGTTCATTCATGGACAATTAAAGATGTCTCACTACCTAGGACAGTAATGGGAGTGTGTGTTACAGGGAGAAACCTTAGTGAGTCCAGGTGTAAACCCAGAAAATAAATTATCATTTTGGGAAAGTTGGGGTTTACTTGTGAAAGGTGAAAGATAGACTTTGATGACAAAGTGGCCTGAGTTGGCCTGGGAGATCACAGAGGTTGGCTGGACTTGGAGGGAAGGGACAGAGTGGGGGACTGTTAAGTCATGCAAGCACAATTAGGTTTGGAGTTTACTGGTGATCAAGGAATGTGGAATTCAGTGAGCTTTTCACTGGTGTTAATGTTATTCTCAGAATCTGAGACCTGAAAATTTGGGCATGATGACTTTTATACTGTTTGTAGTTTCCATAATGATTTCCTTTTATTTTTCCCCTAAGCTCTTTTGAAATGGTTATCCTGACTCATTTGGAACTATGGGACCTGTTCATTTTTAGGTAAAAAAGAAATAAGGATCCGTGACTTTAGCGGCAAGGCTTGGTGGTGGCCTCAGGTACCCCAGTGACAAAACCACAGAGAGGAGGAAAGCTCAAGCTGGGAGTCACGCATCCTGTGCTCTTCACTGGGAGACTATCCCTCCAGAGATCTGCCCAAACCTTGGTGGATTCTGGACTTGGGACAATTAAAAAGATTCTTAGTAGTGTCTACATAAGAAACATCCAAACCTGTAGAGAATTTTTAAGTTTATCTGAGCGAAATGGACAGGAAGTAAAAATCTCAATGGACTGAAAAAAAAACTCTGCAGAATGGCAGTTTCATAGCTCATTTTATACATTAAAATAATAGGAGGAGATGTAAGGAGAATTACATAAAATCCATTGATGTAGATTAAGGGGGTGAGAGAAAGCAAAGCAGGAAAATCTCTGGGACTGAATAAAAAGTTAAACAGAGATACGCACTTATTTACAGTGGTGGGTACAGCATAATTAATAATGAACATTTACAACACAGAGAGATGGTGTGTGAGGAACAAGGTAACAATGAGGGGTTCTGTGGTCTTATGCTCTGGTGTGGGGGTTGTGTCCTGAAAGAAGGAGATTACTCTGACATTTCAAAGGTGTATCTTAGATGCAAAAAGAGGCCCAAACTGGACTTTGCCCCAGGAGGTGAACAGCATGGAAAGGAGCATGGCAAGGGGTTGAAACTGGGGAAGGGAGAGGAAGCCAGATGCTTCAGAAGTCCACCTTTTTAGGAGTCCAGAACCCATGGGAGATAATGGGTGCTGGGTCTTAGTGACTGTATCCTTCATGGATCCAAGAAAGACAATGGCAGTGGTGCTGTTTGGTTCAAAGTTATAAACAAAGGTGAGTGATGATTCAGGACATTGATGAGGACCAGGATGTGGAAGAAAGGGAGGAAGGAGGATGGGTAGGAGACAGACTCCAATCCTTCTAGTTGGAAGCTGGGCATGGGGGTAATAAAGATAAAACACAATGATTTGGGCTTCAGCACACACACGAAAGTATCTTTTCTAAGCTTTATTTCCCCACACACTCACAGTACCCACCACTCCCTACTCCCAACTCTCACCACCATGGAATAGAGAAGACTCTGGGCTGGGACATCAGGGAGACCTGATACTAATCCTACTTTGCCTCTTACTGGCTGTGTGACCTTGGGAAAGTCACATGACCTCTTTGAGCCTCACTTTCCTCATCTGTTACCTGAGGATGACTATCAAAATGCTGGTGTAGGGACCCAGTAATCAGGAATGTGTAAAGTACTTGACCCATGGAAGACAACAAAGTTAGACACACACACACGCACACACACAGGTCACTCACAACATGGGAGCTCCCTATAAATAAACCACTTTGCCTGTGCACCCTCCTCTCCTGCTACCTCCCAGCCTCTCTGCTGCACACTGGAGAGGTGAGAAGTTTCTCTCCTCTCCATATCCTCCTCTTGTTTCTCCAAGAAGGAGGCTGCCTTGCTTGTTCCAGGGTGAGAAAGACAAAGGGAGATGCCAGAGTGTTCTGCAGTCCAGATGGCAAGTCAACCCAGCTCCAGCACTTGCAAAACTCTCTCCCATCTTCCTTCTCTTGTGACTGACTGACTCCATTTGGAGTGTTGGTTCTGAAATCAGGTCTGCATCCAAGGCATAGTTAATTTACAGGAAGAAGATAAGGAGGTGCAATTAGTGGAATAAGTCTTCTAAGCCCAGCCTGAGGGTGAAGAGTGAGAGAAGACTGCAGCCAAGAGGGTCATTGGGTGGTTCAGGGCTGGATCAAGGAGCAGGCATGGAGCAATCTTTATATTAGTGCCGTGTTCCTTCGGAACAACAGGGCTGGAGGGGTGCATTAAGTGATTGATGGCACCTCCAGCCTGAAACAGCTACCATGGCATAAAAATAGCAGGGGTTTGGAAGTAGACTGCCACAGGGCAAGAGAATTCAAAGAAAAGTGTTTTATTCTGCCTGGGACCCCATAGGGTTTTCTGACTCTCCTGTGCCAATATAACCCCTGTAGATAACTTTCTCCCACTACAAAAGGTAGATAGACATGCAGGCAAGCAGCAAAGAGATGGAGGGAAAAGGTCTGAGGTTTGATCCCAGAAGACTTGAGTTCAGGTCATTATTCTAGCATTTAGTAGCTGAGCAATTTCAAGCAAATTTTTAAACATTCCAGACCCTCATCTGTTTGATGGGAACAAACAGGGGTAATATTCAAAATGCTTAATAATTGGTAAGGTATGGGTACAACCTATGAGAATGGGACTTGGAATCAGAGCAGGGTTCTGGGAGCCCACATTGTGCCAGGCCTTCACTCTTTAGTTGTTGGGTCATCGGGGAGTCTGGGAGTGCAGGGAGGTGACTGGGAGAGCAGCCACAGCAGTGGAGGACTCAGTCAGTGACTGTTTACCAACTAGTACCAAAGTATTTCCAGATTTCAATAATCAGTATAGCTATACTGAACAGTATTAGTTGCAAGTCAGATCTAAGGGCAAATCCTACCCACCGGCTACTGTAGACTCGGTTATTTATTTCAAGCCAAAACTTGAAGTCTTTCCCTCTCTAATTCCTCTTCTTTGGTGAAGGACCTGTTCCCACATCTAACCACTCTTTCCTTCTACTCTGAGCAGTGCTCCTTCTTGTGTGAGCTCTCCCAGCTGTGCCTTCCCTACACTCTCCTGCTGGCCCTCTAGCTCCAAGCCTCTCTGGCCAGCACCATGGACAGCTCCCGCTGACCAGCCCATCCTAGGCCATCCACTTCCCCTGCCTTCTGCCTCTCCTCTTTCCCCACCCACTCCAGTGCAGAAACCTTGAGGTATGAACTAAATGAGGGACATCCCTCTGAAAAGACAGTACAGTGGAGTAATTAAGAACAAGCTGTGGAGTAAAGCAGACTGGATTTGAGCCCCAACTGCACCAGCTTTTAGCTATGATCTTGTTCCTTCCATAAACAGGGAAAGCTTTAACAGCTCAAAGGTTGTGAAATTTAAGTGGAACAAAATATTTAAAGAACTTAGCACAGTGCTTGGCTCTTTGTAGGTTCTGAATGAATGAAGAACACCAGTATTCTGTGGCTTTCCATTCTATCTAATTCCTCAAAACCTTTCCCAATCCAGTTCTGACCAGGGTCCTCCCTCAGGTAAAGGAGTCACTCTGTGACACTGGCTCAGTGCAGTTGGCTTCCTCTGAGTGTGAAAGTTGGCTTGAACTTCATGTTTGATAGAGAAAATCACCTTTGACTGGTCTATGAGATTCTATCCTGTAGATTTTTTTTAAAATTGTGAGTTAGTTTTAGAAATACAGAAGAGTCACAGAAATAGTACAGGGAGTCTCATAAACCTTTCACCCAGCTGCCCCTCTGGTTAACATCTTACACGATCATAGCTCATTTATCAAAACTAAGAAGTTAACTTTGGTACAACAAATGCTGTTAATGAAAGTATAGGATTTATTTAGATTTCACAAGATTGTCCACTAACGTCCTTTTCCCATTTCGGTATCCAATCCAGGATTCCACCTGGAGCATTTCCTGAGTATTCCTTGGCTTTCATGATCTTGACTTTTTTGAAGAGTACTGTCCATTATTTGTAAAATGTGCCTTAAACCAGGAATTGAACCTGGACCCCTCAGTCCATGGATGACAATCAATCCACTGAGCCACACCAAGTGGGTTCCTCTGGGTTTTCTTAAGTTGGGCATTTGGAGGTGCATGCAGAAGGTAGATGCAGACACACCTGGTATTTATCAGGGCAACAGAGTGCTTCTGATTCATTTTCATGGACCCTTTTGTAGAGGCCTTGCAAGTTTCTGTTTGCAAGGGCACTCTGGGAAAATGTGGC